GGGTGGGGGTTGGGGGGCTTATGGCAGAGCCCCCACACACAACATACTGGTGAGTGGGAGCTTTTTTTTTTTTTTAAGGGCTAGGAGCTGGGGCGGGTGGGACAGCCATGGGAGTGGGGGCTGGGAGAGTGGGTGGGGGTTGGGGGGCTTATGGCAGAGCCCCCACACACAACATGGGGCAACAGAGGGCAGTGGGGATTGCCCCCCCCCCACCTAGCAACAGCCAGTGAGTGCAGGCTTTTTTTGTTTGTTTTTCTTAAGAACCGGGAGCTGGGAGAGTGGGCGGGGCAGCCATTGAGAGTGGGCAGGGGTTGAGCTGATTTGGAGATTCGATCGATTTGGCTGCAGCCAAATCTCTGAATCAGATTTGGCCAAATCGATTTGGAACAGTGATTCAAATCACTGTCTCCTGAATTGGCTGAATCTGAATCTGAAGCAAATACTAGCTTCTTTGCACAGGCCTACTGTTTATTAATTTTTCATGAAATAGTCCTTGAGGAAATGCATAGAAAGCATTGGGTTCAGGAGCTGGAGCACCAGGTTCCCTTCCTCCAAGGAGACTGTCCTGACTACATAGGTATTCTTCTTTCTTTCTGGTTCAGAAACTTGTATGCCTTTCCAATCAGTGACCAGCTTCAATAAGAGGAGGAATAATTTTTTTGTGATATAAGTCATGTCTACTCATGCTTTTATGTATGCCTAAACTTAATGCGCATTTGCCTAATACACAATTTAGGCTCACATCTGCACTTACATGTATTAAGGCCTTAAGGCATTAACACAGTATGTGGACCAACTTGGGACTACACACTTAACGTGTTAAGGTGCTTTAGCTATTCGTACCTAAATTTGATACCTGCTTTTGCAGGTATCAAATTTAGGCATGAATACCCTAAAATTACCATGTTTAAGGCACATTAATGGCATGCATGTGCAGACATGCCCTTAATGCACCTTAAAAATGGTTAATGAGCCTTAATTCAGCACATGTAGATGTGCCCATAGAGATATAAAACTAAGGTGCCTTGAGGAGGGGAGAATAGAATTACACTTAGTAATCTGCATACCTAAAAGCTGAGTAAGTACATCTTGGATGTCTTGCAATGTGTGTCTTATACCACATGTTCAATAATCTAGGAGATTTATTCCACGTTTGTTCTTCTGGTAGAAAAACTTAATTAGAGATGCCTGAACAAACATTTGAATGCTGAGCCCTTGAAGAGCAGAGAGCTTGCAGTGCTGTTGCTATGTAGCCAGGAGGCTCCCTCCACACATCGTAGCATGCTCTGCAGGTTTCCTCAGTCTGCCTAGAGACAGATGGAAGCAGTGCACAGGGAAGCCCTGACCGGCTGACCCAGACTTCTGTGATTCCTGGCAGCACAATGTGGGAAACGCAAAGAAAGCATGTTCTGCTTCCTGCTTGGCTGGGGCAGCTGAGTCCAGCCAGAGTGAGACACTGTCTCCCTGGGGAGGAGGACAAAGTACCTGGGGAAGCTGGAGGACTGTGCTCTGGCTTCCCTACAGACATTCACTTCCCCCAGGAGAAACTCTCCTGGCAGTGATTTAACACTGGTTGTTCTCAGATTATTTTTCTCTTGAAGTGGCCATATTTGCTCTGTAAGAAAAATCCTGAACATCTGTACACTTGTGGTTTCTGTTGGGAGAGCAGTGAGGAAGAATATGAACTGACTCACTGATTTTTGCTTTTTCTTTGTTTTTATCATAAATGTAAGCAGTGGATTTAGAAGAACACATAGCAATCTCTTAGGTAAGAGGGTAGATTTTTCTACATGGTCATTCTGGTCAAAGAAGTCCATCACTGTTACCTACTTACCAGCACAAGGAAAGTGACATGAGATAAACCCTTCTCTGAGAAAAGTTTAACTCCCTCTCTGATAATAGGGCATAGAGGTTTGTTTCCAAATTTGGATTTCCTTCTGCCCCTAAACCACTCCAAATTTTAAAGTTAATGTTGTATATAATGCCATATTATTTAATAGTCCATCATTAGAACAACATAATAATGATCCTTTGTCAATATTTTAGAATAAAACAGGGATATTTCACTGCAGAGCAAATGAGGTATAAAACATTCCAGATCGTCAGAGGCAATAACTGTACTTTTATTTTTCTAATATGGGAATGAATAACACACACACAAAACTTCAGATCTTCTGTGAGTTAAAGGAAAATCATTCTTTGCTTATTGGGTTCATTTTGTAAATTGAGATCAATGAAATTCTTCCAAGAACAGCATGAAATCAATTGTAAAATAACATATAATTCATAGCTTACATTGTAAATTATAGTTTGTTTGACATTAATCGGTGAGGTTTCCATGCAGCGGGATGTATTCCTTGTAACACATCTTCAGATAATGCTTGTGGATCCATTTCTAATGCATCCTAAAGTGATCTGTTTTTCATGTCTGCAACTGCCTCCATTTGATCTTATGCAAATGAGGCAATCAAGTAAATGGAAAACAAGATGTTGTTATCAGAGGGCCTTGACCAACAGCGGCCTTGCAGTTTTAGAGTCTCTTCCACTCAAAGTTACATTTATACCTGCATGTATTTGAATTTATTTTTCCATTATGAAACATTTGGAAGTATGGATATGGGGTCATGACAAACCCAATATGGCAAATATTAGTGTCAGTTTTTACTTTAAATTTGCTACTTTCCTCTTGTAGGCTATTAGATATTCAGCCACTAATTTTTCTCCTGGTTCCTCTGCAGTCTATACTTTTTCATTTTGGGCCTGAAATCCAGTGAAAATGTTTGAATTGACTTCAGTAGGTTTGCTATACACCTCATTCTCTCTTCACACTGCTTCTTTTTCTAGTATTTATTCACCTTCATTTTATGACTTTTAACCATTGAGCAAAATAGTGAAATTTTAGTTGGAGTAATTAGTTTTTCAGATAACATGCCATTAACTTCATTAAGTCAATGAGAAGGAAAAGGTAAAAACTCAGTAAATACCTCCAGTCTGCTCTGACTGCATGTCTTTTCTTTCCACATTTTCTCTGCCTCACTTCTTATTGAATCCTTTTCTCTCTTAGCACCATTTCTCAATGACTCAGCAGTTCTGTGCCCAGAATTCCTGTTTCCATTCCCTGTTGTACTGTTTTTCCTTGTCCTACTTTTTTATCTTTCTTGACCTCTGTTCTCTTTACTAGTTTTTTTATCTCTTCCATCTAAAAACTCAGATGCTTATAATGGTAGAAACCATCATTGGTTTCATAGGTAGGTAGATGCATCTTTCTTCCCTCAACTCTTAATTATTTCAAAAACATCTCTGTCTCTGCTCATATTTGGCTGGGCACTTTCAGGGACTTCATCTTCTACTAATGCCTGTTTAAATCAATTTTACATTAATTGCTGCTGCTTGCCTGTTTATTGGCTCAGAGTTTGGTGTATAATAAGTTCTCTCTTTTAAGTTCAACCCAGATGCTTCTATCTGTCCATCTTCCCATATTATACGTTGCTCCCATGATGGCAGTTGCAAGGCACATGGGAATTAGAAAGGTGTGAATTCATGATGATGATCCAGTCAGCGCAGTATGTGATGTTGATCCGGCTTGAGCACCTGCTCTGGAATGCAATTTCCTTTCTCAATCATTTAAACAGTGCTTAAACTTAGTAGAATCAACCCCATTATGTTGATTAAACACGTCACAATGTTACATGCATTCCCTTGATACTTTATTTTAGTTATGAAATATATTTTTTTAACTCATACTTTGCCACATGCTTCTTGGGAATTGTATCTACTGGGTGAATGATTTCCAGTTTGCAGGATTCAATTTTCATCTCACTTTCACTGTTGTAAGTCAGGCACAATGCCAGCGTAGCCAGTAGACTTACACTAGTATAAAGCTGAAGTGAGAGAAAAGAAGGTCTAATTCTATGACTACAGAATCATTGTTATCCAGATGTAGTTATTGTGGTTCTTTCCCACCCCCACTTGTTACTCGATTCTGCGATCACTTTTATATTTTCTTTGAATATGTGAATTTATCTCATGCATACAAGAATTCAGAAATATCATGGGATCTTAAAATATGCAGAAATAAAAAGATAAATGTATTTTTTAGATCATATTCTTTACAAAGTTTCAATTATACACTCTTTAAAGAACTTGCTGATTAAGATATGTTTGTTGACATAAGGAAAATGCATTTGATTAGAATTTCAGCAGATTTCCTATGAAAGTTCTCTTAAGAGAACTTTCTTGTCAAAGAACTGCTTCAGTAATTCAGTTTTCTTACAAAAGCCAGCTTTGTGAAATTAAAATTCATATAATAATTCATCAACAAGTTTTTTTCCAGGAGAGCTTTAGAGGCAGCTTATAACAGATACTAATAGGTTTGCTATAAGGCTGGTTTTGAATGAAAACAACACATTTTATAACCCTTTTGAAGTTTATAAAACTGGAGACAAATATGTGATGAAGAACACGTGCCAATGTATATATTACTGATGGCAAGAGTACTGCTTTCCTTTAATTTGTTCTACATACGGTGAAACATTCTGAGGATGAATCTTATTTATTGATATGCAGCAATGATGCAATGAATCTCACAATTTCCTGGGGAAAAAAGAAACCCTGTTATTTGTGTAAACCTTCTGATTAATTGTATGTTTTTTTAATCATGTCAAAACTAGTAGACTGCACCTGCAACAAAAATATATATAATGTAAAACCTAGAGCAGATCTACATTTTTGCTTTGCACTGATGAGAAATATACACATTTAATAGGTGCATTATGCCATGCAAACATAAAAAAATAAACTGGGGTCTATAATCATAATAATCATTATGATTTGAATGTCCTGACATTAACAACAACAAATCCAAACCAAAAAGAGACGTGTAGACATTTCCCTTCCCCACATCCATTTTTCTGGATTCAGCATCCTGAAAAAGCTTAAATAAAAACAAAAATTAATAAAAGCATGGTACTAACTAAATTCCTCTTTCCTTTTTTTCATAGATTTAGCAGTTTTTACACCACACCAGTTTCTGCTCACTGCATGCACGCTTGTTGGCTGTACAAATAGTTCTCAGGTCACCTTGTTTACAGCACAGCTGCCACCAGCTCACGTAAATGCCCCGGTCCTGACTGTTTTGGATTCTAGAACGATATATGTACAGTAAGTACAGTTTTTTTCTTTCCTGACAACACAATCGTGTATCAGTTTATTCAAGAATCCCAGTGAGTTCAATCAGGGAAAGGGTTTGTGACATAAAATTAAATTTATTATGATTAAATGCATAGAAGTGATTAGTTTAGTGGTTCTGTGAACCTTTGATTATCACTTGCCAACTTAATTTCCATTTTGTCTTTGCGCAATCAGGATAACCTACATATGGGTATAGACTCAGTGCAAAATTCAGTGCAGGAAATATGTTCTAGAGGTATTACTGTTTTGTAGCTCTTACATTATTTGTATTATTCTAATCATTTGTCTATTAAGTAGAAATATTACATTAAAGAAGTCTTTAAAAAAAGACTTGCTCCCTTGGACATATACATGAAAAACAGTTTTAATAGTTGGTCTGATCCTTTTCAGTGCTTTTAAGTGATTCCTTTTAAAAATTATATAAATATATGTTCAACATCATAATAAAAAACTCTACGCATTTCTATATAACATGAATCATTATTGAATGTAATGGTGTGTTGCTTTTATTTCCAGATGGAAGGAACCACTAGAAGTAAATGGAATTCTGGAACACTACATTTTATATATTGCCAACAGTGAGCACAATTTTACAAATTGGGATGTAATTTATAACAGCACCGAACTTTTTCTGGATTATACTATCCGGCAGCTTTTCCCGGGTACTGAATACCTCATAAAGCTGGCTGTAAGTTTTAAAGATATGTAAAGAAGAAGGTGGTAGGAGGATTGGTGAAATGTACTCTGTTTATTGTTAGAATCTCATACACTTAAACATCTCATGTGTCCATTTTATTTAACCTCTTTATTTTTTTTTGATCTAAAGAAGGTCAAAAACAGGAAACATGCTCAGCATCAATAATTGTTCTTACATCCAATTCAAGGATACACATTTTTTATATGAAAAGGTTTTATCTGAAATAGTTTGGGCAATGATTGCATGAGGAATTATCAGAAGTATTTAAAATATTTAGAAGCACAAGTTCCATTGACTTTTAAGGACACAGTATTTAAAAACATCCACCTGAACTTCGATATCTGCTCAGTTTCATTCAAAGAGAGTTTGCCCTTTCTATATAAAAACCTGTAAACAAATGAGTGTGTTAGAGTGAAAAATAAATAGTTTGTATAAAATAGCAGCTAGCTTGGCTTTTTTTTTTAAGTCTTTTAAAAGACCTTGATGTTTTCATTGTAGCTTTTATTCAGTAGTTTCTTTTTTCTGATGAAATAGAACACTTTAAGTTCAATAGCACAACTCAAAATATCTGAATATAAACATGAGATTGTCCCTATTTGTTTTAAACACACTCCTCATTTTATAGCAATACCCATATAAGGATATTTGCTTTGATAAATGCCATAGAAAAATATTCTGCTCTTGATTATGAATAAATTTACATTTATGTAGACACTGTGTATGCATTCATTTTACTTAACATGCTCTTGAATGTTCTAAATATTATACCAGAAAAAAAAATAAATTCCCCCACATAACTATAAGGATCTGACTTGAACCCACAAAAACAAGGATTTTCAGGGTAATTAAAGCTAAGCTTCATCTTGGACTGAACTCATTTGTGCCTAGGCACTGAAGCACAAAAACATATAACATGCAGACTGTCAAATTTTCTAATACCTAGATACTGTGAGGTGAGTTAAGTAGATTTTAATTTTACTAATTTGACCTTATTTTTTTTTTTTTGCTACTTCATAGCAACTACACATGTATTTTAGAAATATTGTTTATCATCCTCATGTTCTCTTTCAAAGTATTCTTTCAGAAGGCTTCCTCTTGGGCTAAGATATCTTTCTGGTCACAAAATGTGGTTGTCTTTTGAAGCTCATTGGTGATATTACTCTGCTGAGAGGGGGCTGGTGTCACTTGTGAGATCAATGCAGTCATGTCTATATAAAATTAAATGTTCTTTAATATGCAAGAGATCAGAACAGATGATCTAATGATCACTTTCCACTCCTAACCTTAAGTGCTGTGAATCTACAAATATATCAGTATGCTTCATGCTTTCCAGGTGACAAAGCATGCAGCCTCCCTAATGCACCTGGCTCTGGTTTATCTGGAAATGCAGGAGTCAGTTTGGACTTCACACCAAGACTCAGACCTTCACATTGCTGACCATAGAATTGGACAAAAAAATTTTTTTGATGAAAAAATACAATTTGGGGTTGATGAATGCTATTCACAGATTTCCAAAGCTTTTCACAAATAGTTAAGTTGAAAGAACAAACATGTAAAAATAAAAAAGTTGAAATATTTATTTTTGAAATGGGATTGTATTTTGAAACATGCCTAAATAAATAATAGAGGACATAAAATAAAAAGAAATCCTTTGAAAACCTGAATGAAATATTTCATTTTGGATCAAGCCAAATATTTTGACCAGCTGGGAATACCACTTTTTGTTTCATTGTTTCTGTAGATAGAAAACTAACACGTTGTTTCCTTGGGTCAACTTGAAACATTTTTTTTGTGTGATTGAGTCAGCAAACTGAAAGACTGTTTATTTCAGTCATCGCTCTCCACTCCTAGCTACTTCCATGGGAATTGAGGATGGCTGCACACTTTTGAACATCTTGCAAGACTGTGACTATAGATAGCATTCATGACATTATGTGGCATTATCACTATGCCATGAATCCAGCACAACAAATAGTATAAGCTGCCTTTAATGTGAGTTTTTCCAGTGTTAAAATAGAAACTAAGTTATAGACAAGTTATTGTTTGCATAAATGACTGACTGAATTTTAATATATCTAACGGATCAATGCACATTATGTAGCAATTTCATTTACAAAACCTGAATAAAATCTTCAGAAGTGCCAGAGTCCCATTTTTGAAAGTTACTTAGTGACTTAGGAGCCTAAGGCCTTGGCTACACTGCCTCTCTGCCAACTGTAGGACTGTCCACTCACTTCTGCTTAGTAAATGCCAGATCCAAGAAAGGCATTGGTTTAACCAGCACTTCTGAACAGGTCCAAGAAGCATGCCTAAGGGTAGTATGGACATTGGACACATAATCAGGACTGCCCTAAAGCAGCTACAGTGTTGCATTTTTAAGATTTGGTATACACTGAGGGGGAGTAGGTGAAAAGGATATGCTTCATAACTGATCCTGGGTTCAGTTCAGATGTAATCTAAATAAGTCATCATGGTCATTGCAAGTCAATAGGACTTAATCTCCTAAATCAATTTTGAAGATAGGACTCAGGCTCTCAAGTCACTTGGGCACTTTTGAAATTTCTACTCAAACTCTCTTTTTGACAGTATAGATAAGTGCAAAAATATGCTTGAATATTATAGTACAGTAGCATGATACTGTATATAACCAAGCATATTCATGAAAAGTTCTAGAAATACCTAGTCAAAGCAGAATGAAATCATGAAAAATTTCACTTTTTAAACCTGATTGTCCTCTTTTTTATTGATTGTAGTCTCAGAACTGGATCCAGCTCTCAGCACACACGAACTTCTGCACTACAAACATCATATTTCTATGTCCTTTAGTGCAGCATACAGGTGTCTGCAGAGGTTAGATCACATTAAAAATGGCCACACAATTTAACTTAGTTCACCAAGGTGTGGACCTTACACATAAGTCAATCTTAGTGAAAATTGTAAAGAAATTCCAGGAAGGTTAGATTGGTCTAAATGTGACCAAACCTATTTAAGTTCACCCTACCTCCGAGGTAGTCTAACTTAGATTGGGCTGGCCATTTTTAGACCGATCTAACTGTCCTGAACTTCTGTCCTACCCCTTCCCTGGCACTGGGCTATTTTTATCCCCCTGGCCTCTCTCTCCATTCCCAGATGGACAATCTCCTTCCCTATGGATCAGCTAGCACCCCCATTCAGCCCACCAAACACCCACATCTCACAATTTGCTCCTGGTGGTGGTTTTATCCATATTTACTGATGCCAGGAGCTATGGAAATTAGTCTTGGTAGGGGGAAGGGTGGGAGGGATGGGAAGGTAGGTTCACTGGTGGGGAACAGGGGGGCTAAAAATAGCCTCTGGTCCCAGGGGTTGGGGAGAGTTTATACCAAATCTATAATTTTAAAGAATCAATTTTAGAAAAGGGTCTGTTCAGGTATAGTGTGTGAATGGGAGATTTCCACTTGAAATGAGTGGAGAGTAGACCTGTGAGGGACAAAAACCACATGAAGCTATAGTGGGACAGTGCTGCCAGAACCAAGCTTCTGCTGAAATGGGTTCATGAATCTGAATGTTACTTAAACAAACATTAATCAAATCATTGACCTCTCTTATCAAATCATCAAAATCAAATCAAATCAAAGCATGAATCAAGACATGAATGCAAACATTGACCTCTTTGAGAACTGGTCAGTGCCAATTAGATCTATATTAAATATTGTTTCCATACCACATCACAGTAAAGACTGTTTTGGGACATTGCACAAAATAATATTGTTTTCTTTTCAGTTCTTGTGGAGGGAAAGTTGGACATTGGTCCTTGTTCTGCTATTGTATTGGGTACAAAATGAACAATGAAACTAATGCCTTCTTTACGTATGGAACTGGCAACCATCTGATACACTGTTTGTTTTCCTGCTAGTGTTTCTGGTGCATGGTTTGTAAAGGGAATAAGACAATAAGTCACCTTCTCTCTATTTTGAAACAGTGAGAAGGGGGAAACATCCCCTTCACTAGATTCAAGTAGAAATTTACCAGATTGAGAGCAGAATTTGACTCCCTAAATGACATGATCTGACCTTTTGTCTTTCTTTAGGACTGATCCTTTGAACAGACTAATTCATATGTTTAATCATGTGAATAGTCCCGTTGCCTTCAGTGATATTACTCACAAAAATAAAGGGAAAAATCACACATACATTTTTTGCAAGATTCAGGGTTGATTTGTTGTCATTGATTTTAGCTTTTTTAAAGTAAAAAATATTTTGTATTCAAATGGGTGTAATGCAAAGGATTTTTAGCTATTTTTCAGCAAGTTGAGTAGCTAAATACATGTGTGTTTCATTTTGGTTTAGCCAGTAAACACTTAACTAGACTTTTAAGAAACAAACAAAAGCCGTCATTTACTAAAATATAACTGATCCTGTGGCTTTGTTTATTCATGTGAGACTTTTTACCCTGAGCCATTCATTCTAGTACAACTAATTGGACCATTAGTTTGAGGAAGGATTAGAGAATAAGGCTCACAGTGTGCGCATGTGTGGGTACACATGCATGCATACACATGCATGTGTATTTATGTACATACAAAAACTTCATCCAGAATGGTGTCTTATGATCAAGCAAGATGTGAAAATCATGTAATGAAGCGGGTCTCCACTGGTAACTAAAATGCAAATGATTCAACCTCCTTGTCCATTAAGATGCACTCAACAATTGTTACATATTGATTTATTATAAATTAATTTCTTCACTTTTTAATTGCATTTGAATACTACTAGTCAGTGCATTTACATAAAATACAGGAATGTCCTGATGGCATTTTTTCCCTTCTGGTAATTCACTGAAAGATTTTTAATTGCAGCAGTAGCCAGTCATATTTTCACTGCTCGAAGGATCTGAGTATACATTAGAGCATTACAAGAAGAGTTGTGGTACTATAAATGTACACTGTACACTGTAATTTTCTTTAGCTATTGCTGCAAAAGCAATGGGATGTTTATGAAAAGCATATACTGCACTGTAAGAAGCACAAACTTTATTAAATTCAGAAATGTAAAATTACAAATCTTAAAAAATAATGTCTTGCTTTAATATTGTGTCATCACTTCAGGATATATTTGTTTACTGTGTTTGATATTTTAAGGCTTGCACGGGAGGTGGATGTACAATTAGTGAAGCCAACAGAGCCCTAACAGATGAGAGTACACCAGAAGGTGTTCCTGCTCCAAAAGCCCAGTCATATTCACCTGATTCCTTTAACATCTCATGGAGTAAGCCTGAGTATCCGAATGGTAAGTGAACTCTTTTAGCCTCAAGTTAAAAAGATGATTAGTAAAGGTAAATTAATATTCTAAATGGCAGCTTATATGTGGTGCTTAATTTTTAATGATCATTTTAGCACATAAAATACCTGTGATAGTATCATTGTCTATAGCTAGGAGATTGTGGTTTTCAGCATAGCACACAATTTCAGTGGCTCAAAAGTGCTCCCTTTTGATAGTTCTTGTGTATTGCATCTTATTGTTTAAGGTTTTACAGGACAACTGAGCTGAGGAAATGAACATAGAGAATGGTCGTCTAGAATTTGCACTATAACTTCTGAAAAAGCATTTTTGACATTAATGTTTTTAAATGCTGGATTGATTTCTTAATATATTTATTCATTTCTTATAGTATTATTTTTCTTAATTTCATTCCATAGAACTTGTTCAAGAAATGGTGTACACCTGCACTTTTTTGGAAGTTTATAATATCCTTATTAGAATTAGGAAGTTTTTCTATATGTACTGTGCATATCCATACATTTTATACCAAATTAATAATTTAAATCATGTCAAAAGATATAATCTGGACTTGTTTTCCTGGTTTCACAGCATTATATGTATCATATTCCAATCACACAACAAATGACTGCCCAGAAATCATTGGCACTGTCTGCAAATGTTTATTTTTTGTTGAAATATGTCCTCTATAATAAAAATATAGGATGAATGCATATCAAATATTATAAAGCATGAATTTCCATTAATTTAATTTTCCCATTTGCAAGTTGTCCCTGCTTTTTTGGCTTTGGCAAAGCATGTGTGCTATCCAGATGGTTCAATTTCAAACATTTTGAAAAAAATTCTAGGGAATTTATACATTTTTAAAGGATGCATTTTTTATTATCCTGTATTGTCACATTTTAGGGGATGAAATGCTAACATACTGTTGACATCATTTAGAGGACTATTGGTTTTAATTCATCTTTATATTATGATGGTAATGATGATGATATATGTGCACCTGATTCTGTAAGATTTGTTGTGGACCTCCTTTACCCAGTTTCCAGTAATAGGTTGCATATTTATTGCATGTTATCTGTTTATTTAGTGCAAAATAGGATAAAATAATATAAGCCACTTCTGTGTCTAAGAGGCCATAGTCACATAGTCTTTTTTTTTCAGTAACATGGTGGCTCTTAGTGAGTTAAGTGCTTATAATAATTTCAGTCAGATATCCAAACCTGCTGTCATTTTTGCAATTTGGTAATTTCTAACAAAGTTAGAGGAAGTTTTAGTTTGCATAGATGATGAGAGCAGGCTCTGAGTCTATAATAATAATAGGCTTATTCTATGTGTCCAGAGCACTCTGATTGGTTGCATCACAATGCTTACTGAAACAACCAATCAGAGTGCTCCAGACAGCCAGAAAAAAGCATGTTATTATTACAGATCCTGAGGCATTTCAAACAGATATGCAGGCAAGTCAGACCTAGAATTAAACACAAGACCACAAAAAAACCCCCCCCCCCCCCCCCCCCAGTTATGGAGCTGGCAGGCTCTGCCAAAGGGAAGAAAAGAAAAAGCAGTGAGGAGCCCAATCCTTTTGTTTTTTTCGTGGAACCTGCCCACCTTTCCTGTGACCAGGGGATGAACTGCCGGCTGGCCCTGAGCTATTTGGGCCCCCAGTGTGGCCCTCTGTGGTGACAGCAACCCTCAGGACCGCCTGTCCAGGGTGCCAGTGGGTGGTTGCTGCTCAGGGGGTGCTGCCACCATGGAGGGAAGCACCAGGGGATCCTGTGCAGCTCAGGGCCTGCATGACCCACTGACCACTCGCTCCACAGCTGCAGGAGATGCAGGCAGGCTCTGTGAGAAAAAAAAAGAAAGATAAGGCCCTTTGCCACTTTTTAATTTTTTTGCCTCAGCAGAGCCTGCCAGCATGAGCTGCTGCTGGGTCGCACAGCCCCTGAGCTGTGGGGGGAGGGAGGGCTGGTGCTTCCCTCCACAATGGCACTGCCCCCCAGGGGTGCCTGGGCAGGGTGCTAGCTGCGCAGGTGCAGCCCCAGCTCACAGGCAGCACCTGCCAGATCCAACATTGCATGGGGCACTGGAAGCCTAGTTGTTCTCTGGGAAACTCAGGCATGCACTGTCCCTGCTGCCTTTCCACTGCCTGGGACCACCGGGGAACAGCCTGGCTGCCCAGGGAAGGTGGCAGGACAGCTGCTGGGTGTGCAGACAGTCAGAGAAGGTGGTGGGGATGGCGCATGGGGCACTGGAAGCCCAGCAAGCCCGAGCTTCCCTGAGATTGCCTGGACTTCCAGCACCTCATGCACAGTCCTCGCCGCCTTCTCCGGGTAGGGCCCTTGTACATGTGAGGAATATTGCTGCAACTTGTTATGTAGTAAACTAAAATACATGGGATGTGCTTAAGTTTGCTATGTAAAAAGTAATTTAAATCAAAATACACTGCTGAATGTGTACACTGTTACGATATTTAATTGCAACATGCCGTTGAACATGAACACTCTTACACAATTAATTTGTTAAGAAGGACAATTAAACCACTCAAAGGGGCAATTTCCTCATGTGTACAAGGGCCTTCTTATTCCATGGCTATGAACAAGTCACAGGGTCAGACTTTTGACAAAATATGTATTTATATTCCTATGCCTGTGTTTACACATGGACAGCTTTATGTAGCCTTTTTGAGGGTGCGATGTTTTGATTCTGTTAAAGTATTCAGTCAAAGAATAACTAAGAATCCTGTATTTAACGAAATATTTTTGCAATGAAAATTTAATCGCAAATCTTTTGTGGGTTTCAGCTAGTTTTAATTAATTAACCTCCATAAGATTTTATTTAAAATATGGCATATAATGGGATAGATAGAAGCAATGAAAACTGCATTCATAGCTTCTGATGAAATAAGCTGTTTCTTCCAAAAGCTTATGCCTCTCAGAATAAGTTTATAAGGTACCACTCTGCCCTGCCTTCTGTATAAATCATATTCGCCTTTTTCAAGTATGGCAGTTAATGTCTGTGATATGGCTAGTTTACACTGAGAGCAAAGTAAGTGGTTGCCAGGTAAAGCTTTGGAACCATATCTTGGGCCTAACAAACAGCTGTACTATATGCTCTCAGGAATTCCACAGTGCTTGGGAAATGGTATTCTTTTATCTTCTGTCTTAATTGCAGTCCCTGAGGTTGAAGGCTTCAATAATCTACATCAGGCATTGTCAACTGGTGGGTGGGGATGGAGCACTGCTTCCTCCCAGGAGCAGGGCTGGGTCAAGGCAAGGGCAGTAGTACCATCTACAGGCTGCACAGGCACCACTTGACTGGTCAGATGGGGTGGAGGGAGTGGGGAAAGTTTGCTTGCAGTGGCAGCTGTCGCTGCCATCCACCAACCCATGCCACTGCTCCATATTTGGCCGTGTACCACCCTGCCCTCCACCCTCTCCGCATCCGGCCACCAGGGATACACTTATTAAAAAAGGTTGAAAACACCTGATCTATTCAGCATCTATTCTATGCCCATCTATTCAGCAGAGTACTGGCCAGTGTGTTTATGTAGTTTTACCAAAAACTCTGTACAGAACTTCCTCTTCTATCTCAACTCTGTTGAGAGCTCATGGAAGCATAAGATGTCATGTGCATGCTGCTCCCAGCCTGACCCCGCCTTGTATATGTTTTCATACCTTAAATTCTTTCTCTGCCTGTGGAATAGAAATAGCCAGTTTTCCCCCTTGACAGGGAAAGGTGCTACATGGAAGTATAAATGCTACAGTGATTCCTGGCAGGGGCATAATGGAATGGAACAGGCCTGCTCTAAAAGTCTGAGTTGGCAGAAGAAATTCTGGTTAAGTAAACTAATCAGCTCCAATCAACTGTTGGAGAGTACATACCAGAAGCTGTGCCTCATGGGAACTGGTGCAGTGTGTGCTTCCCTGGTTGCCTGTGAGCTCCAGATGCTGTTTAGGAGTAGACAGAGGTTCTGTCTATTGGCACTGGACTTATGACCCAGCTACTTTGTTCTGGGCAGACCCAACCCTCAGACCAACCATGACCCCTCCCTTTGATAATAGGTGAATTTTATTGATATACAGTGATAGTAGATAAGGATAATGCAAACAATTCTATATATACCAGTCCCAGGGTTCACAGAGTCAAAGTACATCTGGCCAGTATGCGAACTTCACTCTGAGGTTCTCTCTTGAATGTCAGATGTCAGCAGTCTGGAGGTCAGAGGCCGAGGCCCACCCTCCCCAATTGGGGTGCTTGTGATAGGATGGTGGTATGCCCTCTGTCCATGCTGGCCTGGAGCTCCCCTCTTGGGCACCCTTTGCTGCTCTGAAATCCTTTCTTTTGTATCCTTTCTTCTCTCCTGGTGACTCTTCATTTTTGGGGCATTGTTGATTGATCTCCCTGTGGTCATTATACTGTGCAAGTTCTGTCATCTCAGAGTATTTTTTGATTTCACAAACTCATCACATTATAATTTGGTGCTTTCTGGTGTCCTCCTAATTTGGTCCATCTACCAGAACTGGAAATCCCAGTGGCTCTGCAGCTGGGCACTGTGACCTGGACAACATGACAGAGTTCCTTATCTCATGTTATGGAACAGTGTGATACATGTCTTCAGTTTCCCAGCCTGCGTGTCTGTTTGCTTCTTTCTTGCATCAGATACAGTGGATCTTGAAGGAAACTGTAACAAACAGGCTTTTAGAAATCAATTAACCCTTGCTGTTGCCCTGGACCATTGTTCTAATGCATATCTACTTTACCTACAAGCCAATTCCCAAAAAGCAAACCTCTAAATACCATTTTCTAAACATCACTGTCCTGTTTTGAGTATCCTTGTGAAGCAGGCCCTGTGCTTTTGTGCAACATTGTTGCTATCACAAAGCTTAATAGGGAGGAAGGGATGCGCTTTTTTATACGTCCACTGAAGTGGGAAGCTACTGATTGGGCCTGCATTCTGTTGTGCCTGTTCCCAAATTGCTGTTACTTCTTTTCCCAACTCTTGTTCA